GTGCCTTTTGCACTGTGCAGTATTGTTTCTGCTTCATTCATAGAAAGCATCTATAGATTTTGCCTTCTCCAGGAACCAGTAAAGGCCTGCCATGTTTTAGAGCTGGTGCCCCAGAACCGATGATTTGCCTTGAGCTGCCTCTGTAATGTTTCACTGATTTTTCTCTCCACTATAGAAAATGGCTTCAGGCAGTCTTTTGCCTGATACGTGTACCAGATATCCAGATCCAGATAGCAAAACGTGCAGGAAAATGGCTTTCATCCTAAGTGGCTGTCACTTCCAAGTGAAATAACACCTGTGAACTGTCTTAAAAAGAAACTCAGCATTTTTTTTCTTTTGTCATTTCAGTCGCAGCCTTCTTATTTGAACTGCACTTTTTTCTCCTTCTCTTCACAAGAGCTTTCATGTTATGCTTAGTATGCAAAGATGTAGTTAAGTTCCCCTGATGACTTAAATGTGAGCTTCCAGGATTTATGGGCTTTCTCCTGTGATGACTGTAAATTGTCCATTGACATGGGAAAGATTCATAGGCCTTGAATATGTCTAATTATGTTTAACACATGTGAGGTTGCAGGTGAAGTCACACCACAATCCCTCTAAGTACAGACCAAGTCTCTGTTTGGGCAGGCTGCCTTACACAGCTGCATTAAATTCACAGTAACAGATACATGGCACGACCGTCACGTCCTATCACAATTAGAAATAACTCCAGAAATGCAAAATACTCTGATACATTAAAAAGCTGAAATAATTACCAAGCTGGTCAAAGTGATTTATTTCTACATCCCTTCTCTGTCAGTGCAGGGACTAATTTACTGCATGTACAGTGACTAAAATAGAGAGGTTCCACTCTGGCTACTTTCTGGGTGCTACTGGAGTATTAAATGTTTGATTATAAATAGATTTTTTAAAAAACTGGTTTAAATTGCCAAATGAAAATAAGACTTTATGTCAGTGTAGCAATTACAGTCTGACACCTGACAATTTATCATTTCTGTACACATTTTCATCAGGACAAAATATAATTGGAAATTGGCTGGCAGTTTTGCTAATGGTGCAGAAAGAATAATAAAATCTAATGTAAGACATGTTGTCTATAGTCTTGGAATGCTAACAGAAATTAAAAACTGAAAACACTAGACTTAAAGAACTCATTCTTCCTGTGTTATCCCTCTGCACCCATGTAAGCACCTAGTTAGGATTTGTTTGAAAAGGAAAGCGTTTTCATTTTGATACAGCTCAGCTCTAGTTATAGCTTTGTCTGTGGCTGATTTACAGTGTTAGTTCCTTCCAAAAATCCCATTTTAACACTCACTGTCATCATAATTTCCTCTTTCCCAAGCACAGAGAGGTTGATAGAAATCTGCTTTACAGAAACCTTATCTATTTGTACTGGAATCATACCAGCTATGTAGTAAAATTTTTTTTTTCTTCTTCCTAGCCTCTTTCATTGGGAGTGAGAGCAAATAGGCAGCAGCAATCAGATTTCCTTTGGTTTTCCTGCATCTAAGCTTTTTGACTCATGTTTTGAGTCTATCTTTTTTGTTGGGGCTTCCACCACACCCTTTCTGTCTCCAGCAAGTTACTGGTACTTTCATTATTTCTTTGACGATGTCCCTGCTATCGAATTAAACATTGGTAGGGACAAAAAGAGCAACGGAGCAAGGAGGGACTGGAAGACCCAGCTCTCCCCTGCCATTCGAGATATCTGTCTTATTGTGCTACAGTGTGTTTCTTGCACTGAAAACTTACTTGAATGACCTTAAATTACTCTTCTTAATGTAAAGAAAACTTTGCTATTTCAGCTCTTCAGCCCTCCCCATTCCAGGCATCTCTCTTCTGTTTCTTAAGACTGGTTGGTTTGCTTCTGCTTCTGCAGGTTTCAGGTTTAATCTGATCCAAGCTATGGAAAATAAATGTCACTCACTGATTGTGAGCATGAGGAGTGCAACAGCTGATACTATTTCTTAGTGATCAGCTCTATCGTCAGAGATTTTATTTCTCATAGGCTAATTGACTATTTTGTGAAGAGCATTTCTCATTATGAACATGTTCAGAAAGAGAAGATCCATGCTGACATGGGAGCCCCCCTTTAAAAAAAAATGCTAAAAGATAGGACAGCACAATGATTTTCTCTCTTCAATGTTTTAATGAACTAGGCTAAGATTTGAAAGATGTCTGTCATCAATGTAATGTAATGTAAAGTGTTTTCCAAAGGGCCGTATTGGCAGTTGTGTTCTCAGATCTTTTGAAATATCTCAATTTGGGCACTGAAAATTGGAGGCACCCAAGAACCATTGGTTGTTTTTTTGAAATCTTGGCCTTCCAAGCTTAACTTTAAAGGACAAAACCGCAAACTGCTCTTGTGTTGCAGTGTGTTTTTCTTGCAGCTATGCTGGTGTGGGCTGACTTCCTGGGATCTCACAGGCAGGAGCATTTCTCCATGGACATCTCCAAAAATAACCAGGCTGTTGGCATGAATATGGTCAATAATTTAGTTAGCAGTAATTTCCTTGTGGCAGGCTTGAGATCATACGATTCATTGTAGACCACTAAACTACCATCTTGCCACTTAAAAAGATGAGAGTCATTCTGCACATTGTATGATGCATGCAAGTGGGTTGTGCTCTCACCAGAGTAAGTCCTCTGCTAGCTTCTGCTTCTGGCCTTCCAAGGCAGAAAGAGTCCAGTTTCCGTGACACTTGTCAGTTGTCTGGCTGCCTGACCAGTATACAGAAGTAATCAGTGGGCAAAAATATATTTTCCCACAAGATTAAGTTTAAGGTACTGAAAAAAGTGGTGGCTTTGGTTCCTGTATTTTTTGTAGCACTCATCTTACTTTAATCACTGGCTTTCTTTTCTGATAGTTGTAATACATGGTATGCTTTGATTGGTTTTGTTATGGGTACAATTTAGAAAATAACTATTAATCATTGAGTGATGAGTCAAAATGAAGAATTAATTCAGAATTTCAAATAGCACATCTCTCAGGCATATCCTTGTTTGAAAAAATATTCCCTGGGCATCTTCTTTCAGATGAAAAATTAAAGCCTGTGTCTTCTCTGCATTTGTTTAATTCTATTGATCTGCTAGACAGTTATTAAATTTTAGGAAATGTTGGTCTTGATTTTTTATGGAAGTAATTTTATTAAAAAAGTAGAAATGCTTCTATTGTTTTTAAGGAACTGTAGTATCCGTAGAGAAAAATACAAAAAAACCCCATGGGCAGGATGATGTAATTACATAGGGGAGACTAGTAGATGCTCAATCTGAAAATATATTCAATTTATTCTTTTAAATAATAAGATTAATGCAATAGCCAATTTACTGACTTTTCTAAATACACAGGCAAATGCTTGAAATCTCAATATTTGAACTGAGAAGCACAGTAACAGAACTGGAAAAAAGACTTAGAAGTATTGAAGATGAAGGTAAGTGAATTGCAACAAGAGTCTTGCTAATTGGTTAGGAAACAGAAAATTAATTCTTTTGGGTACGCCCTATGGAGATACCAATTTTTATTTAGAAATTTAAGTTTTCCCTTTTCAAACATGACTATTATATGTGTGATGTTGCAAATGTGAAATTAAGGAATACTACATGCTGCATGTTAGCTTTAATTATTAATGAAACTATGAATAACGTGAATTCATAGAGTTGGTTAATATTCTGGCCACAGCAAGCCCAGTGTAAAATTCCCTTGATTTATATTTTCAAGCTCTTTTGTATGCAAAAATCCTCATTGTGAGGGCTACCAAGTGGAGACTTTCTCAGTCTCCAGAAAAAAGTGGGAACAGTTTGAAAAAATGCTAACTTTTACTTGAAAACAAACTTGCACAAAACAATCTGGGAACCAGAATAACCCTGTATTTCTTTTTAAGGTAATGAATGGAAAACCAGATATGAGACACAAATAGAACTGAACAAACAGCTGGAAAGGCAAATTCATATTCTTTGGGAGAAGATGGAGCTTATTCGTGGCAATCCAGCAGGTAGAAATGAGTATTTGTAACTGTTTTTCAATAGAATTAGTGATTATATGTTAAAATTATATCAATAGGTCAAATTTTCTGCTTATTTGTAGATAAATTGTCCATTGTTCGCACCTTTGATCAAATGCCTCTGGTGAGTACTATGGCATTTAATTGGTTAACAAAAAATCACAGTGTAATTGAAGCACTTCTATAATCTTTATTTCTTTATGACAAAAAACAGCAGCAGCCTGGCCTAGAAACAAAAAAAAAAATCAGTCCTGCTTTACTGTTTTGTTGTTTCAGAGGTGCAGTTGCTTATAAGTAAAATTATTAAAGAGGAGGTGTGTAAGACCTGAATGTTGGGAAGAATCATGTAGTGAATTTTTTGACTGAGTGGAAGTTCTATGATTGGACCTGCAGTAAGGCGTATGAGATGGAATAGCTGGACTAGTTACATAAATAAATGGAAAAATGTTAAACCTTGTTCACAAAATCACAGAATCGTTTAGGTTGGAAGGGCCCCCTTTGAGAACTTTTAGTCTGCAGGGCCAGCTACAGCACATTGCCCAGCATCATGTCCACTTGGGTTTGAATACCTCTGCATATGGAAGCTCCACAGCTTCTCTGGGCAATGTGTTCCAGTGTTTGACCACTCTCATAGTAAGAAGAGTGCTTTCTTGTCATCAGATGGAATTTTGTGTTCCTGTTTGTGTCCGTTGCCTCTCGTCCTGTCAGTGGGTACCACTGAGAAGAGCCTGGCTCCCTCTTCTTCATTCTCTCCCATCACGAATTTGTACACACTGCTGAGATCCCCTTGGGCCTTCTCTTCTCCAGGCTGAACCGTGCCAGCACTCTCAGTCTCTCCTCATCTGTGTGATGTTCCAGTCCCTTAATCATCTTTGTAGCCTGTGATGGACTTTGTCCAGGAAATTCATATCTTTCTTGTACTGGGAAGCCCAGAACTGGGCCTAGAACTCTGGGTATGTCTCACCAGTGCTAAAGAGAAGGGATGGATCACCTCCCTCAACCTACTGGTAATGTTCTTCCTAATAGAGCCCAAGCGGCCATTGGCCGCCTTTTCAGCAAGAGAGCATTGCTAGCTCCTGGTCATCTTGCCCACCAGGACCCCAAGGTCATTCTCCACCAAGCCGCCTCCCAGCCAGTCAGCCCCCAGCGTATATTGGTGCCTGGGGTTATTTCTCCCCAGGGACAGGACTTTGCATTTCCCCCTGTTGAACTGAACTTCATGTGATTCCTCTCTGCCTATTTCTCTAGCCTATTGAGGCCCCTCTGAATGACAACACAGTCCACTGGTGTATCAGTCACTACTCCCAGTTTTGTATCAACTGTGATAACACAGCTGAAGGGTTACAGTAACATTTTGCATAATACAGTTACAGGAAAATGCCTCATTGTACAGTAAATACACCATTTTTGTAACACCGAAGGAAGTGTCTGTTTTCATTTTTAAGATTTTATTCTTTAATACACTCATATTTCATGACCTGTATTTCAACAAAGCATAAAATATTTTTCTGTGATCTTGAGGAGAAAATGGCAAGAAAAAAAATGCAAATATTTTGGCCATTTAGTCTTCTAAAGTAGTAAAAGAAGTGAAAACAATTTTCAATTCAGGACTGCTTTTTCCTTAGTCTGTCATTTGCTGAAATCTTTTATTTTGAGACCTTTTCTGTTTCTTACTCACTTTTAGAAATAAGGAAGGCAGATAAAGACGTGATAAAAAAAAGGAATGATGAACATTATGACAGCGCTCTGACGATTTTTATTCCAGTTGCTTATGCTTACAGAAGTGTTTCCATCTTACTTTTTTGTGCTTCAGATTCTGAAGATTAATGGGAGTTTGCTGAGCCTAGGGGAGGCTGCATGCCCTATTAGTAGGAATTATTATCTGTTGTAAGCAGGGTGTGAATAATTAACTGCTCTTTCTGATCTGATCCATGGCTTTCAGATAGTAAACATTCTTGCCAGTTTTAGTACTGTCCTAGTGACCATGGTGTTTTCTAGGTTGGCAGGATTATTTTTTTTAAACAGTTAATTAAAAAGAGAACAAAATCTTTCCCATCCCGCATTCCTGTTTCACACAGTTGATTTGAAAATACAACTGGGATTATATTTGAAGAAAAGTCTTGAAGACAGAACATTGATCTAGAAAATTCACAGTAGAGTCTGCTTCAGACAATGTTATCCCTGTCAGCCTGTAAAGCACAGACTGGCCATGTGTGCATAGAGTATTAGAAATGTTTATTTCCATCCAATTGCTAGTACTGTCTTAACAAATCCAATTACACCCTGCCAAGTGCTCAAAGAGTCATTACCAGTGAGATAATCTCCTTTACTAGCAGCTGGGCTGCACCAGTCCAGTACATTTCTAATCCTTGCTAAATACTGCCTTGCCTCCTCACCTGTGAGCTGTGGTTCTGAGAGGTTTGATTACTGTTCCCACAAGGAAAGAATGACAGCACAACTGAAAGATTCGTGCTGCTAGAAAGAGTCTAGAAGACAGTTTGAAGAGTCTTAGGCTTACTCAGTGACACCTAGGGAAGGCTGGAGCCCATGTGCCACGCGGCAGGTTTTTCTTCTGCAGTTTTAAACCTTTCCTTCAGCCTTCCATCTTAGAGTGAATACATTCTTCTGTTTGCTAGCCAGAGGGGAAAAAAGAAGTGCTTAGGGATTTAGTGAAATGTTTCATTTTTCCTTGTTTTGATTTCGGGAGATGGAAAGAGGGGAAGAAAATATATCTATTTTGTGGGCTTTGCTGTTTTTTGTTTTTTTCATTGAAGCTATCAGAAGAGTCAGTGTATATTTACAGATACTCCTGGAGAATGCAGAGCGGCTTTTTCTTCTCTTAAATTTTGGGAGATAAAATGTTGGTAAAAAACCCCACACAGATCATTTTGTGGTGTTTAAGCATATAGGTTTATCCAAATCCTTTTTATGTTTCTGAGAGTTGTTCAGGGGAGTAGGGAGGAATATTTAGCTTCTCCACAGATGAGAATAAAGAGCAGATGTGGTGAGTGGGTGTAGAAAAACAAAGAGCTTTGCAGCCAGTCATCAATCTACATTTGCTCAAAGTAAAAATGCTGAGAGTGGGTATATATAAAATCATGTGTGCGTGTGTGTTAAATCAGAAGTACACTATGATATTCAGCTTTCAACTTGAAGTTGCATATGAAGCTCTGAGGAAAGATAGCAAAGTCATTCTTACAGCAAGATGATACAATTTGTAGAATACGGCAACAGTAGACAGTAGATTTTGTTTTGAACAACATGTTTAGAAAATTAAATAGTATTTGCAAGTCTTTTTAACCTGTGTTCCCAAGGAAGTTAGAATTATGCAGTTAGAGTTACTAGAAGGACCTCTAATAATCCTTAACTTCCTATGCAATTTCAGCTGTACTTAACAGAGGAGATATCTCAAAGATAGTAAAGATATTTATCTCACTCAGCTAGTCATTTAAGGTCCTACCATAGTCCATAGAAGGAGAAAAGCATGTCCGTAGAGTAATTCATCCCATTTAGAGACAGTAGCATAAAATATTTTCTCAGTATCAAGCACTACAGGGAAAATAAAAAAAGATTAGTCATCAGGGACCCTGGCAGTCAGCAAGCTATAAAAACCTGAATGAAGGAGAAGAATAGAAATGCAAATTCTGGAGTGATGAACAAGGAGGCACAGAGGATTTTCTGTGTTGATAAACTGCAATAATTGTTGCATATGGCTTGCACTATTTTTGCTTTAGAATTATACTGATAAATGATTCCTTGCTGTTAAAAACACCCCTAAACCATTTAAATATAAAATTATCATTCTGAAGTCCTTATACTGACTTGAGAGAATCCTTTTTTTTTCTTTCAAAAAAATCATGTCGGTGTCACGTGACAGTAAATGCAGAACCAGTACCTTGAACACACAAATTTTTACAGCCAGGGTTTAGAAAATTATTTCTGTGTACTAAGGGCAGATTAAAAATAACCTAAATAGTGACAAGCGCAAGGGAGTTCCAACAGTGAAAACTGTTCAGTCAGTAATTTCCTTTATGTCCCAATGAATAATACAAATGTCATACGGTACTTCAGAAATAATTACAGATGGAATGTCTTCTCTCTAAAGTGTAACATGATGTGAATTTTACTTGCCTCTTAAACATGCTGCATTCATTTGTTCGCATTTTTTCATTAAATTTAGTTAAATAGATGCTCTGTGCTAAGCATAATTTCCCATATAAGCAGAAAGAAAATCACTCCTTTCTCTCTTACCATTTCTGCAAGAAAGAATCCCTAGATAGCGGCTTTAGTATGCAAATACTGAAAAGCATACTGCAAAATCAGTTCAGAAGAGCACACTCTTGATAGCATTGCCTTAGCAACGCTCTAGTTAAGATTAGCCAAGGAACCAAGGTTTCTGTGATAAATCACCATTTTCAGAAATGTCCAGCACCATAGCTGAGAAAATTCTGACATTAAGGGCCAGATACTTGCTTTGCAGAGCTGCCTTTCTGAGAGCACAGTGACCACAGAACTGAGACCCTCACACAACCACCTCTGGGGTTTTGCTGTGCGTTTGAAACTGTAAGCAGAACGTGTGGCAGTGTCACACTGGAGAAGGTGTTGTCAACATGACAGGAGGGGAATCTTGGGTTTATGAAAACACACACAACAAAGACTTTGTATTTCAGTAGGTGTTGGTAACTGCCTATAGAGAACATCAGCACTTTATAATGGCACAGGAAACGTTGACAATTCTCCTAGCAAGTCACTGTTAAATGAACCGTGTTGTTCTTGCTGGATTAAGTCACCAGTAGCTCTATGGGAAGAAGAAATCTGGTATCCTATCTATCTTTTCGTGAAACTTGGAAGTATTTTGGAGAAGGTTCTATAGTCTGGTCTGACTCCCCTGAGCTGTATCCTGCCTTCTCACAGACTTCCCCTTCCTACTCCTTTCATCTTACCTCAGACAAGTATTTTGGATGCCTCCAAGACACCTTTTTGATTTGCATTTTTTCCTTTACTTGTCATGTTGGCATTAGCTGTTTCTTCCAGTGGCCTTGCACAAACTATCAGACTATTTTACTCAAATCACTTTTTGGTATTCCCAGAGGCAGAATACACATTGTATTTCAAAGAAAACAA